TATTTCATTCAACTTGGGTCCTGAGTGGACTTCAAAGTTAAGTTTATTTTAGGAATGCCAGACCATGTTCACCTCCTGAAGGAATGAGGAAGGAGAGGTGTGGAGCTGGATAATAACACAGTCCATATTAACAGCTGGTGATGGGTGTGGCAGTGTGGAAAGAAGGACTGCATTTAGTCTGTTGATGAATAGCCGCCACCCCTTATCCTGTCCCTCCCAACCTGGGGTTTAACAACACTCCATTCTTTTCATCTTTACCTCTGAGGGAAGGATTGTCAATGAGAATATTCACAGTTAAAGTATCGAGGGCAACAAGGTTTGATAAGGAAAGGTGCTAAATTGGGAGCCCAGAGACCTATCCTAGTCCCAGCTAGTTCTAACTAGCTTCCATTTGGGCCTCAGCTTCCCCATCTGCCAAATGAAGGGGTTGAACGGTTCAATACTCAAAGACTATAGCTCCCTATAAATTAGGAATCACAAGGTTCCTGTGATTTTATGTTGGATTTATTCCCCAATCATGAGTCATCAGTCAATCTCTGACTTTGCAAATACAAATTCCTCACCAGTGATGGAAATTAAAGCACTTAATTCTCTTATGAGCATGTTGTACACTCTGAATGGTGTGTACTGTACTGTCTGGGAAGTCAAGGCAAAGGAAATGGCTCTTTAATCCCTCCTGGGATCTAAATGGAAAACAAGACAGGCTGTGACATCAGCTGCCATTTCCTCTGAGATCAGACTAAATAATACAAATATCAATATTAAATTATGCAAGCACACTTTTTATTTTTGCCGTTCATGGCAAATCACAGTTAATCCTTTGCTCTTAGCTTTTAGTTCAAGGTTATGTAGGAAGAAAAGGAAAGATGAACACAGAATTACAGCATTTTTAGAGCTGTCGGCAACTTTAAAAATTAGACCCGACCTCTCATTATCACATCATTGAGGAGATATGAAGGGTCCAAGGTGTGAAATAGCTTCATATAATGTTGACTTCTGAAGCATATTCTCTCAATTCACCTTACCTAAACCTACAGTCATTGGGCAATACCATTACCTATAAGCCAAATAAATAAGCACTTTTTTTTTTTTTTGAGATACAGTTTCACTCTTGTTGCCCCGGCTGGAGTGCAATGGTGTGATCTCAGCTAACTGCAACCTCCGCCTCCTGGGTTCAAGCAATTCTACTGCCTCAGCCTCCTGAGTAACTGGGATTACAGACATGTGCCATCATGCCCAGCTAATTTGTATTTTTAGTAGAGACGGGGTTTCTCCATTAGTCAGGCTGGTCTTGAACTCCCAACCTCAAGTGATCCATTGGCCTCAGCCTCCCAAAGTGCTGGGATTACAGTTGTCAGGTATGAGCCACTGTGTCTGGCCCTAAATAAGCACTTTTTTGAAAAGCCAAAAAAGAGAACCAAATCTCTTTTCCTGAGTTTCCTTCATTACAACTAGATGAGCCATGTAAGGGGAAAACCGAATTCACCAGGAGGAATGTATCCGAGACAAGAATGAGTTACCCTCCTGGACTGTATCCAAAACCAATTATTCAAGCCAAGGTCTAGCTACTCCATGTTTCTATCCACTGCCTACTTCTGTCTCTACAGGTACAGAAGCACCAGGCCTAAAAAAATTATTATGAAAATAATGTTGGCCTTTAACAGACTAGCCATGTGCTACCATATCACCTACGAGGTGTAAAGGTGCTGCTTTAGCTGGGCATGGTGGTGCCTGTCTGTACCTACCCCAGCTACTTGGGAGGCTGAGGCAGGAGGATCCCTTGAGCCCAGGAGTTTGCGACTAGCCTGGGCAACATAGCGAGACTCTGCTCAGAAAATTAATTTTAAAAGAACAGCTTTAATTTAGGGAATAAAATTCAAATGCTTAAAACCTGTTTTCTTCACCAAGAAACATGATTTTTGGCTAATTTATCCCCTCTTTCATTGCCTATGAATCCAGGCAAGTTACTCAAAGGCATCTCTGCAGAAAAAATAAATTAATTGGTAGTTTCATATGTGAACTATTTCTCTAAACTTGGTCAGTATTAGGTGCTGAAGTTATAACAAGAACTCATCCCTTCCCAATCACTTTGTGTTACTATTTAGCTGGATGAGATATGCCTTAGTGTTACATCCAGCCTACAATGGGAAACACACACACTGATCATTTTGATATCTGATCACATTTGATGATATTTTCATAGTCATACGCTCCATACCAGAAAGTTCTAGATGACACAATTAAAATTTAAGTTGCATAGGTTATTTTAAAAAATGCATAGACTGTTAGAACTGGAAGAAACTTTCAAACGCATCTCATCATATGCCCTCCCTTTCCAACTAAAGAAATAGAACTGGGTGCAGTGGCTAATGCCTCGGTCAGGAGACTGAGGCAGGAGGATCACTTGAGCCCAGGAGTTTGAGGCCAGCCTGGACAACATAGCAAGACCCTATTTCTAACAAAATATATTTAAAAAACAAAAACCAGGTTTAGTGGCATGTGCTTGTAGTCCCAACTACTCAGGAAGCTAAGGCAGGAGGAGGACTGCTTGAGCCCAGGAGTGTGAGGCTGCAATGCGCTATGATCACACCACTGCACTCCAACCTGGGTGACAGGGCAAAACTTCATCTCTTAAAAAATAAAAAAGAAGAAAGAAATGGAATTGCAGTGAAATCAGATACCTCATAACACCACTAGTATGTCCCTCATAACACCACTAGTCGGCAGCAGTGCCAGATCTAGAGGCCGTGTCTCCAGTTTTCCTGTTCATGTTCTTTCCACAGTCCTTGCTGCTTTCCAACATCACTGTAGGCCTTCTAAACACTCTCGAAGGGTTGGCTGGAGGCTATTCCTTTGGAGTCAGTCCCTCCCATTCCAGAGCTGCCTCTGCTATTCCACCGCATGAGTTATAGATGCAAAAGATTGCTAAAGCTGGAATAAGCAGATAAGTTCCCTTTCTTGCCCCAGTGTCTTACATTCTATCAATCAGAAAGGTGACAGATATTATAGTTATTAGTTGCTCTCATAGTAAGTTACTGTCCTAATTTATCCAAAGTCAATTGTTGCTATGCAATATGCAACCAAGAAGGAATATTTTGGTTTCAAATTATGTGAGCGATTCAGTCATCTGGTTTGTGTGTAAGAAGTAGATACGGTTTGCTGGGCATGGTGGCTCAAGCCTGTAATCCCAGCAATTTGGATTACAAGGTCAAGTGATCGAGACCATCCTGGCCAACATGGTGAAACCCTATCTCTACTAAAAATACCGAAAAAAATTAGTTGGGCGGGGTGGTGCACACCAGGAGTCCCAGCTACTCAGGAGGCTGAGGCAGGAGAATCGCTTGAACTCAGGAAGTGGAGGTTGCAGTAAGCCAAGATTTAACGACTGCACTCCAGCCTGGGTGACAGAGGGAGACTCCATCTCAAAAGAAGAAAAAAAAGGAGGTACGGCTAGCTGGAATGTGTAACTTGGGGCAGCAGCCTGCTAACTCTGTTTGGATGATTCTGTGACAGGAAATCTGGTTGCATCACACTCCTAACTTCCGACTACAGCGATGTCCATCCATGTGGGCACTAACTGTTAAAGACTAACAGATGAGCAATAGGGTGCAGGGGAAAGATAACTCAACTTGACATAATTATCTGCATTAGAACCCTGTCCCGTGCATCACCATCGGAATGACTTTAGACTTTAGTGCACTTTAGACTTCAGCTGTGATGTTCCAGATCAAGGGCCTCACACAGAAGCTGGACTTGGTTTCTGAGCCTCCTTCTATTCATCTGTAAAGTGCTGATCAGATTTGAAAGTGCTTTATACATGTTGTGTTACTTGGCTAACAGTGTTTTAAAGACCTCTGTGCTTCAATAATCTGTAAAGAGGCCAGGTGCGTGGCTCATGCCTGTAATCCCAGCACTTGCGGGAGGCCAAGGGGGGCAGATCACCTGAGGTCAGGGGTTTGAGAAGAGCATGGCCGACATGGTGAAACCCTGTCTCTACAGAAACCACAAAATTAGCCATGCGTGGTGGTGTGCACCTGTAATCCCAGCTACTCGGGAGGCTGAGGCAGGAGAATCACTTGAACCTGGGAAGTGGAGGTTGCAGTGAGCTGAAATCGCACCACTGCACTCCCGCCTGGGCGGAGAGCTAGACTCCATCTCAAAAAAAAAAAAAAAAAAAAAAAAATCTACACAATAATATGGAAAATGTTAAAAATTTGTCTCTGGGGCCCCACAGCCTCAAGTATAGAACCCTGCCCTGCCATGTAGTCGTTGTATGATCTTCGGCAAGTTTCATCTTTGTCTCTGTTTCAACTTATTTAAAATTTCAAACATACTCAAGAAAAGCTAGAATAATTAACTAAAATAAAGTACTAGTCACCAGATTAAGCAGCTTTTAATATTTTGCTGACATCATTTATCTCTCTCATCTCAACGCTTTTTTTCCCCCTGAGGTATTTCTAAGCACATTTGGGGGCCGGAGGCCGGGGGCGGTGGCTCACGCCTGTAATTTCAGCACTTTGGGAGGCTGAGGAGGGAGGATCGCTTGGATCCTGGAATCCAAGAGTTTCAGATGAGTCTCAGCAACAATTAGCAATAAATAATAAATAAAAATGAAAGCACGTTTGGGCAAGTTGTTTTAAAGATCTCTGTGCTTGGTTTTCTAATCTAGGAAATGAAGATTATAATACTGAATTCACAGGGGACAATTATATTGAGTATTCAGCGTTAGCTATCACTATTTACGGTGGTACCTATGTGCCCAGCCCCCTCCAAGGCATAAAAGCACTCTGCAGCGCAGCGCTCCAGACTCAAGATAGATGTTATTATTATTACTATTATTATTTTTTGAGACGGAGTCTCGCTCTGTAGCCCAGGCAGGAGTGAAGAGGCGCGATCTCGGCTCACTGCAATCTCCGCCTCCCGGGTTCAAAGCGATTTTCCTGCCTCGGCCTCCCGAGTAGGTGGGATTAAAGGCACGCACCACCGAGCTCGGCTGACTTTGTAATAAGACAAACGTTATTAAAGACAGCGTGGAGAAACCCGAGCCTGCGTCGCTGAGATTTCAGCGGCCGCTTCAGGTCTCCCTTCAGATTCTCTGGGTCAGAACGTGGATTGTCCCTAGCAAGCATCCATTGTCGAGTGCGGCCACGAGGGGGCGGAAACAGGAAGTGGGGATAGGCCGAGTTCCGGGCGCGAGACGGTTACTGGGAAGAGCAGAGCGAGGCGGGTTAAGGTTGCTAGTTCAGAGCCGCGATGTTCCGGATTGAGGGCCTCGCGCCGAAGCTGGATCCGGAGGAGATGAAACGGAAGATGCGCGAGGATGTGATCTCTTCCATACGGAACTTTCTCATCTACGTGGCCCTGCTGCGAGTCAGTGAGTGTCTCCCGGGCTGTGACCGTGAGACCGGCGGATAGCTCACGAATGCCGCACCTTAACTCTAGTCCTACAGGCCATCGGGGGCCCTTGAACTGAGCTGAGCGGTAGCGGGGAGCAAGGAGCCTGCTCTCGGTCAAGGGCGACGGGCATATGCTTGGTTTGTAGTCTGCAGGTCAGGGTCGGGTTACTGAGTGCACGTGGTGACCCGGCGCGCGTGGTTAATCATCTCCCAGCTTTAAGAATGTTTGGGCCGAGCGCAGTGACTGACGCCTGTAATCCCAGCACTTTAAGAGGCCGAGGCAGGCGGATCACGAGGTCAAGAGATCGAGACCATCCTGTCCAACATGGTGAAACCCCGTGTCTACTAAAAAACAAAAATTAGCTGGGCGTGATGGCACGCGCCTATAGTCCCAGTTACTTGGGAGGCTGAGGCAGAAGAATTGCTTGAATCCGGGAGGCGGAGGTTGCAGTGAGCCGAGATCGCGACACTGCACTCCAGCCTGGGTGACAGAGCAAGACTCTGTCTCAAAAAAAAAAAAAAAAAAAAGAGCTGGGCGCGGTGTCTCACGTCTATAATCCCGCCTAGCACTTTGGGAGGTCGAGGCGGGCGGATCTTTTGGGGTCAGGGGTTCGAGACAAGCCTGGCCAATATGGTGAAACCCCGTCTCTACTAAAAATAAATTAGCCGAGCATGGTGGTGGGCGCCTGTGATCCCAGCTACTCAAGAGGCTCAGATGGGAGGATTGCTTGAACCCAGCAGGCGGAGGTTGCACTGAGCCAAGATCGCAACACTGCACTCCAGCCTGGGTGACAGAGCAATACTCCGTCTCAAAGAAAAGAATGTTTGAGCTGAAAGAGCTTCAGTAATTATCCCCTGAGCAACTCCTTAGTTTTGCAGACAGAGAAACAACCAGAGTAGGGAAATAACTGGGCCAAGGTCATTCAGCGATTCAGTGAATGATCTTGACCTAAAATCCAGGGCTCTTTTTTCTTTTTTTTTTTTTTGAGATGTATTTTTGCTCTTGTTACCCAGGCTGGAGTACAGTGGCACCATCTTGGCTCACTGCAACCTCCGCCTCCTAGGTTCAAGCGATTCTCCCACCTCAGCCTCCAGTGTAGATGGGATTACCGGCACCAGCCACCACATCTAGCTAATTTTTCTGTTTTTTTGTTAGAGATGAGGTTTCACCATGTTGGCCAGGCTGGTCTCCAACTCCTGACCTCAGGTGATCTTCCTGCCACAGCCTCCCAAAGTGTTGGGATTATAGGCATGAGGTACCGCCCCTGGCTTAAAACCCAGAGCTCTTAACTCAATACCAGGTTCCTTCCCTTCCCTTCCCTTCCCTTCTTTCTTTCTTTCTTTTTTTTTTTTAACAAAACGGAGTCTCGCTCTGTTGCCCAGGCTGGAGTGCAGTGGTACAATCTTGGCTCACTGCAACCTCTGCCTCCAGAGTTCAAGCCATTCTCCTGCCTCAGCCTCCTGGGTAGGTGGGATTACAGGTGCATGCTACCATGCCTGGCTAATTTTTGTATTTTTGGTAGAGATGGGTTTCACCATGTTGGTCAGGCTGGTCTGGAACTCCTGAGGTGATCCACCTGCCTCCGCCTCCCAAAGTGCTAGGGTTACAGGGTGAACCACTATGCCCAGCCAGGTTCCTTCCCTTTCAGAAGTTCCAACCTTTGAAATCCAAAGGTCCAAAAGGTTTTGTTTCATTTCTGTTTCTTTGTATAGAGGGTGAAGTAAATGATTGCTTTTTTGGAAAGAATGGGAAGAAAAGGGCATGAGTCTATGGATTAATGCAAATACTTGGAGTTTTGTGTTTTTTTTTTCTATATTTTACAGTTGGCAGTAAGTTACTCCCATTATATAGTCTTGCTTAACATTGGCCCTTTGAGGGAGGCAGGGCTTAAGATTCTTTATATCCTTTTACAAATGAGAACTCGATTTTCAGAGGAACTTATGCAGGGAATGAAGGTATTGGAGTTACAGGAACACTGAATGTACGAACTGGAAGCAGCTTTATGATCAGTTCTCAAATGCCCTGCCTTCTCATTCTCAATTCAGTGTGCTTTCCATTGTTCTTTGCTGTATATTAATGGCCAGTCTGGATGGAGCAGGAGGGATGGTTCAAATAAATGAAGGCCATACCAAGGTCATCCTATTGAAGGCTCATGTTAGGCCTAGGCCAGACTCACTGATACTGAGATCTCCCTTATTCTGTGTCTCTTTCACCGTCTGTGGTGTTACTTTGCTTTCACAGGAGAGGGAGCCTTAGGGAACAGAAACACCCATGTCATCCTAATTCAACAGTTTCTTGCAATTCCCAAATTTACTTATTTTCTGCCTCTTGCCTTTTTTGTTGACCTAGTGCCAGTAAAATATTTGCTTCTTCCCAGTGACCTTTATATTTGATATGAATTGTTTATTTTCACTTTTGAAAAAATATAATTTGTATATTATACAATACACTCATTTAAAGTGTACAATTCAGTGGTTTTTAGCAAAGTCAGTTGTGCAGCTATCACGGTCAACTTGACAGTATTTTCTTTCCCCCTAAAAGAAACATCATACCCATTCATTGTTACCCCGTTTCCCCTTTTCTCCAGGCTTTGACAACTACTAAGTTTTTTGTTTTTTTTTTTTTGACACAGGCTCTCACTCTGTTGTTCAAGCTAGAGTGTAGAGGTGGAGGCTGCAGTGATCATGGCTCACAGCAACCCCGGCCTCCCGGCCTCAAACAATCCTCCTACTTCAGCCTCCTGAGTAACTGAGACTACAGGCACACACCACCATGCCCTGCTAATTTTTTATTTTTTTGTAGACACTAGGTTTCATTATGTTGCCCAGATTGGTCTCAATCAGTCCTTCTCATTTCCACCTCCCAGTGTGTTGGGATTACAGGTGTGAACCATCACACCCTGCCCTGGATATTTCATTTAAATGGAACTGTCAAATGCATGGCCTTTTGTGTCTGGCTTGTTCCACTTAGCATAACATTTTCAAGATTCATCCATGTTGTGGCATGTGTCAGAGCTTCATTTTGATGGCTAAATAAGTTTCCATTGGATGGATATATCACATTTTTGCCTATCCATTGATTATTTCATGGATCTTTTTTGCCATTAAGAATTAGTAGAACAGATTGGATATATTGCTGACTTTATCAGCTTCTGACAGATCTGTGTCTTCAGTTTAATATTAACAAATTGAGCTGGGTACAGTGGTTCTTGCCTGTAATTCCAGCACTTTGCAGGGCTGAGGCAGGCAGACGGCTTGAGCTCAGGAGTTCAAGACCAGCCTTGGTAACATGGTGAGACCTTGTCTCTTAAAAAAATACAAAAATGAGCCAGGCATGCCCAACAACTCGGGAGGCTGAAAAAAATAAATAAATGCAATAATATTAACAAAATGTTCTCTTAATATGAGTATTGAGAAAGAAGGAATTTGGGGTAGCTTTTTTCGGTCAACACTTTTACATGGGATGGTAATATTACTTCTTTACTATATGTCGACACTTCTTAGTTTTCTAGACATTTCTATGTACATGATCTTATTAGACCCTCTTAATGACCAAGATAAGACTGTATCAGATGTGATCTAGAGCATGTAAGTGATTTATCAGTAATCAATAAGAGACCCAAAATAGGTGTCCAGCTCTTCTGGCTCTAATCCAGTGTTTTCCTATATATTCTGCCTTTCAAATGAGTTTTTAAAGGTGAAAAATGCCCATTTGTTTCCTCTAGAGTTTTGATCCTTTACAGTTAAAATAAATTGCCGAGTAAAGGATTGTTATTTGAAAGAGAATTTGATTTATACTTGATAGTCCTAAGGGACAAACTATCTGGAGAAAAGATTTTATGTAGCATAAGAATGAAACTTACAATAATACCTGAATGACAGCAGAATGGACTGCTTTGGAAGTCAACGAATCCCTTTTGCTGGGTTATACAGGTAGATGCTTGACCATCATTTGGAATTATTTTCAAAAACATGCTGAATAAACCTATAAGGTTTTCTTCCCCGGTCTTACAATTCTATAATGTAGCCTATGGACTAATAAATTTGAAAACTAATTTGAGGTTTATTTGTTTTTCTTTCAGCTCCATTTATCTTAAAGAAATTAGACAGCATATGAAGATGGGAGATCACATATGAATGCATGATATGAAGAGCCTGGTTACAGTTTCTACTCTTCTCTGCAAGTGAATAGACCCAGAAAGGTGTAAGAGACTCTTTGAATGGACATAAAATTTCTGCTTATTAAGAACAAGTTCGGGTCTGGTAACTGACCTTCAAAGCTAAAATATAAAACTATTTGGGAAGTATGAAATGATGTCTCGTGATCCTAGTATACCCTTATCCCTATGACATGTGGCCTCTGACAATACTGGTATAATTGTAAATAATGTCAAACTCCGTTTTTTAGCAACTATTAAGGGAGCTATGTCTGAAATGGCATTGTCTTGTCAGTCATTTCTGTTTACTTCTGTAAACATTTTCTTCTGTCCGGAGTGTATTTGTGACGAGTCCCTTAAAATTAGTTATGTTTTATGGAAATCAGCACACAACCACAATGACATATAAGCACAGGGTCATTAGTCTTTTTAATAAACATATCAACTAAGAAAAATTGGGTTTCTATTTTTCTTATACTACTTTTTGCTGCAAACCAACAATCACTAGTGAGACTGTTACAATACTGAGATTATTAAAAGCTTCAGTAAGTTCATCTTGTTTTAGACTAGAGAATTTGCCAATCCTGATAAAGTGTCATTGTGTTTTATTGCCAGGCAATCTTAATGAAAGGTGGCATTACTGCTTGATGCTGAGCATATGGAATATTAATACTACCAAAGGAAAGAATAAGATATTTTTAATCAAATAGTTCTCCAAGGTTTGTTGGGGAGAAGGGATAGTCCTTAACCTTCTCCCCAGCGGCCATTACATACACCTCTTTAGCTGATTTTGTTGGTATTTACCTTTTTGTCTCTAAACGTGACGGTCGTGATTGGGATTTAGGTCTCTTTCCTCTTCATAGCTCCATCACTCACACATATCTTGTCATTTCTTCCTTCCAAAGGATAATGTAGTATGATTTTGAGTAGGTCAGTATCATTAGGATTCTGAGAATTGATTTTCTTTTCCTGTATATCTTTTTGGTTTTTTCTAGGCTTGGTTTTCCTATGGAATTGCTACTAAATCAACTAAACGTTTTGCCATTTATCTAAATCACTCATAGCGTTCAGCTTTATTAGGTACTCTATTTCATCTTCCTAAGTCTTTTCCGGAGTCTTCTGACCTGCCCTGGCTGGACTGATAACCTGCTATGCCTGATGTGTGGCTATATTCTGGGAACTTCCTTCACTATTGTCCAGGAACTCCTTTTCTTCTCTCTTATTGTATCTCTTGTTTTCTGTTACCTAGTGTCTTGGTTTACTCCCTTGTTTTGATGGAGACTTTTTTCTCCAGCAGTGTCCTGAGAAAGGTGGCATAGGAGGTGAATGACCTTGCGGGTCTAAAAATGTCTTTTTTTTTTTTTTTGGACACAGTCTTGCTCTGTCAACCAGGCTGGAGTGCAGTGGCGTGATTTTGGCTCATTGCAACCTCCACCTCCCAGTTCAAGTGATTTTCCTGCCTCAGCCTCCCAAGTAGCTGACGTTACAGGCATGCGCCACCACGCCTGGTTAATTTCTGTATTTTTATTAGAGACAGGGTTTTGCTACGTTGGCCAGGCTGGTCTTGAAATCCTGACCTCCAGTGATGTGTCTGCCTCAGCCTCCCAAAGTGCTGGGATTATAGGCGTGCGCCATCATGCCTGGCCGTAAAAGTGTCTTTATTCTATAGTTTGCTGAATATAGAGTTGTAGGTTAGAAATATTTTCCTTCAGGATATTAAAGGAAAGCCTCTGGCTTTCAGTGTTGCTGCTGAGAAATCTGAAATCATTTTGATTCCTGGTTTTTTTTTTTTGTGGGACTAAATTTTTCTTCCTGAGAAACAAGGATCTTTGTTCAGAGTATGCTTATATTCCATGATGACTTCGTTTAGTGTCTGTTTATTTTAATTCACTGTGGTGGGCACTTAGTGAACCCATTTCAACTTGAAACTTGTATTTTTTAGTTCTCAGAAATTTTGTAGGTGTTTAACATTTTTATTATTTTTTTATGGACACATAAGTATATGTATTTATGGGGTACATGAGATTTTGATACAGGCATACAGTACATAAAAGTCACATAAGGGTAAAGGGATTATCCATCACTTTATCATTTATGTTACAAACATTCCAATTATACTTTTAGTTCTTTTTAGATGTACAGTAAATTAGTATTGACTGCAATCACCTGTTATGCTATCAAATGCTAGATCATATTCTGTCTAACTATATTTTAGACATCCCATTAACCATCCCTGTGTTCCTACCCTAACCCTTCCCAGCTTCTGGTAACCATCATTTTACTCTCTTATTTCCATGAGTTCAGTTATATTAATTTGTAGCTCCCACCAATGAATGCTTATAGATTTTTATTGACCTTTTTCCCTCTGGTCTCTTTAGAATGATAGTACTTTTAATGTTTTTTTCTATATCATCTATTTTATCTATAATTGCTTTTCTCTTTTTTTGTTTGTTTCATATTAGATGCTTTCCTTGGTTGTTTGCTCATATTTAAAAATTGGGGACTAACATGGATGAAAGGCTCTGAGTAGAGCTCGTTGATGTTGAACTTTGCCAAACGGTCATCTATTGGGCCATTTTTGTTGAGAAAACTTTTTGTGTCTCTGTCTTTAGTTATTTTCTATTGACCTGGTCATTCCTCAGAGAACAAAGACTTCCAATCTTCAAAGTGAAAACTGAGGCCTGCCAACCTTCTGGGATTCAAAGGAATAGGGCTGTGGTGAGGCTCAGGGCAGAGAGGTGTGTGGGTGTGTGTGTGTGTTTCAAAATCCAATATGCATTTGCTCACTGGATCTCTATTTTGAGTATAATACCCCTGCCCAAACTGCCTGGCATCCCATAACCTAGAGACCCTCTATTTTACCCTTTTCAGAAAGTGAACTTTTTTTTTTTTGAGACAGAGTTTTACTCCAGGCTGGAATGCAGTGCACGATCTTAGCTCACTACGACCTCTGCCTCCCTGGCTCAAGCAATTCTTATGCCTTAGCTACCTGAGTACTGGGATTACAGGTGCACCCTATCATGCTTGGCTAATTTTTGTATTTTTGGTAGAGACAGTATTTCATCATGTTGGCCAGGCTGGTCTTGAACTGCTGGCCTCAGACGATCGGTTCATCTCAGCCTCCCAAAGTGCTGGGATTACAAATGTGAGCCATTGCACCTGGCCTAGAAAAAAAACTTGTAATTTTGAGAGGGCATTGTGTAATGGAGGCTATTTAGCTGCACAGAGTTACAGAGAACATCTGATTACTTAAACCTTGCACCAATTCTTATTTTAATGTCTACCCTTTTACCCCTTATTTCTAGAGGTACCTGAACCCACTAGTTTATGAGCCTTTTAGAGACTCTGTGATATAAATTAGGTTGTGGGGTTTTTATTGTTGTTGTTTGGGGTGTTGTGGGGTTTTTTTTTTTTCCTACTGCTAGCTCAGAATTCAGTTTTTCGGAGTCTACTGCATTACTTACTGTTGACCTATTTTCTAGCTTCCCACGTTTTATTCCTGTTTCCTCTTTTCTTCCATCCTTTTAGGTTTATATGTTAAAACAAAAACCTTTACTGTCATTTAGTGGGATTTTGGGAGGGATTAGAGGTAGATATACATGCTTAATCTACCATCTTTATCTGGAAAACAAGTATTTTAATTCTGTGGTTCTGTATTTATTTCTTAATTAAGAAGGTTTAGTATATAGCACTGTGGTCATGAATACTGGCTCTAAAGACAGCCAGACTGATTTTGAGTGTTGGCTCCAATACTTACGAGATGGGTGATTTTTAGCAAGTGAGCCTCTCTGAGTCTCATTTTCTTTAACTATAAAATTAGGACAATAGGAACATCTTTCTATTTCAAAGTGTTGTAAAGATTAAGTGAAAAAATGCAAGTAGAGCAGTTGGCACAATTGCTTGACATTTGATAAATGTTATTAATGGTTAGTTTTTAGTATAAGGCAGTTAGAAGTGATTTGTGCTTACATTCACGGCATGGATCTCATTCCTATTTACAGATGCTATGAGATAGCATACTGATCCTCTAATTGTGTACAAACTTTAAACACTTAGGTTCGTTATCTAAAAATAGCTTTAACCAATCAATATTAATGTCATTTTACAGATGGAGAGGTTGAGACTGGGCGTTTCGGTGGCCAATGAGTAGCAGCTGGCTAAGGCTTGGGGAACTTTTTTTTTTTCTTTTTCATTTTTAAAAATTGTTTCTAGTCAGTTGTGCTTATCCAGGGGACTTTTAATGTTTACTTATTGATTGTACCCTATCCTCACATTCTTTTCTTGGAGGAAAATAGTGTAATTGTTACCCTGGATTCAGTGTATTTTCAGGCTGGAGTAAGAGAAAATGTGGTGGTTCAGCTTTTGTGGCCAGCTTTTTAACATTCAGGCCATAAACGTCACAGAGGGGTTCAATACTTGGAATAAACAGTTTTGAAATAGTACATTAAGAAATAATTGGAGCTATATACACTTTGATCTATGACAGAATGAACATGTTTAAAGTAATAAAACAGTGATTTAGTGACCATTTCACACTTAGCGAAATTTTGCTCTTTAGTAAGGTGTCCTGTAGGCCAAATCCAGCCAGCCATCTTTTCTGTAAATAAAGTTTTACTGAGACACAGCCACATCCACTGTGTTTGGATATGTAATATGAAATGAAAAGGACCATAGCAAATTTGAAATCGGTAAACTCTTGAAAGGGGTACGTTGAAAGAAATGGGAATATTGAAAAATGTTTATTCTCCACAAACAGGTTACCAGCTTAGTAGGAATTTTGCTCCTAAATTAGGGTAGTGTTCCTGCTGTCAGTGCAATGTTTAAAAAAAACGGCTTTATCAAGGCTGAGTGTGGTGGCTCACACCCGTAATTCCAGCACTTCCTGAGGCCAAGGCGGGCAGATCACAAGGTCAAAAGATCAAAACCATCCTGACCAACATGGTGAAACCCTGTCTCAACTAAAAAATAGAAAAATTAGCTGGGCATGGTGGGATGTGCCTATAGTCCCAGCTACCCAGGAGGCTGAGGCTACAGTCCCAGCTACTCAGGAGAAATGCTTGAACCCAGGAGGTGAAGGTTGCAGTGAACCGGGATTGTGCCACTGCACTCCAGCCTGGCAACAGAGTGAGACTCCGTCTCAAAAAAAAAAAAAAACTGCTTTAGCCGGGCACGGTGGCTCAAGCCTGTAATCCCAGCACTTTGGGAGGCCGAGGCAGGTGGATCACGAGGTCAAGAGATCGAGGCCATCCTGGTCAACATGGTGAAACCCCGTCTCAACTAAAAATACAAAAAATTAGCTGGGCATGGTGGTGCGTGCCTGTAATCCCAGCTGCTCAGGAGGCTGAGGCAGGAGAATTGCCTGAACCCAGGAGGCGGAGGTTGCGGTGAGCCGAGATCGTGCCATTGCACTCCAGCCTGGGTAACAAGAGCGAAACTCCGTGTCCAAAAAAAAAAA